TCAAATCCAAGAGTTAAATTAGCCGATGCAAGCATGAATTGTGTGCATTGAAAATCAGAAATTGCTCTCAATTCTCGCGCCATATTCTCAGCAGTTCATGTTGAACCAGATTTTACAATCAGTTCTTCTATATGTTGCAGCAGATCTTTCTTTTGTGTTGCTAATCAAGTCAACTTTCCTTTTCTCCTTCAACAGTCTGTCTTTCATTCGATTTAGTTCTTGCTTTAAGTACTTATTTTTAATTTGTAGAGCAGATTTTCTTGTTTTTGTATTTGTTCTCCTCATTTCTGCATACTTCTTTTAAAGGCACTCTGTAAGTGTTTCTGTTCCAGCTGGTGGTATTTCCGGATCGAGGGGTGTTGTCTGCAATACTGATGAACTTGATTGCACCTCTATAAGCGCCTCTGTTTCAGCTGACGATGTTTCCGGATCTAGGGGTGCTGGCTCCAATACTGATGAACTGGATGGCAGCTCTGTTGAAGTTTGACTTCCAAAATCTGAAAATTTCTCATCACATATTGCCAATAATTTTGTGGCTTCAACTTCTCTGTTAAAAATGTTCGTATTTCTTGACTGTTCTGTTTACAAGGCTCTGGACTTTAAATTTTCGGGCATTTTTGGAAATTCCACCACTCTTTAAAAAAAATCCTGGTGGGAGGTTTTGTAGTACTGTAATAGTATATGTATGTATCGAAAAGGAAACAGATCTCCAGATGAGAAGAATTACAAGACAGTACTGTAGCAATCTATATAAAAAAAACCAAAGAACTGTATACTTAATGCTTTAGAACCAAAGAAGCCATACTCTACCTATTCAGCCAATCAGACCCTTTGATTAAGGTCATGTGACCTTATCACCCAAAAGTATAACTCCTATATCAATTTTACCTCAAATTTCAATCTCAATGTGAGTTATCAAAAACGTACAAATTTTAATTTTATCAGCTTTCTCAAATGAATTCAATTTTGAAAATCAGGATTTTCCTTCTTCCCAGCAACCTTGATGCAAATATCAATATATTTACAAATCCTAAAATTGTTCTGATGCATACAGGTACAAAAAAAATGGCTGTTTTTCCAGATAATTTATCTGGCCGAATGGCCTCTTGAGGCGCACCATTGTGTAATACAATGTTCCCGACGGTTACTTGGACCTGTTCAACCATGAAGCCTTTGTGGTCTAGTGGTTATGAAGCTCGCCTTTTCAGCGAGAGATTGCAGGTTCGAATCCCGTCGGAGGCATTTTATTACACAATGACCTTTATAGGACTGTATATGTACCTTATATATATATGTATATATATATATACAAATTCACGGACTAGTGCTGTCTTGTAAGAATTATGTAGGACGCGTTAAGAATGACAAAATATTCTCTGTATCTACTGGAACCGAGCCGCATAGCTTGTATTCCACTATTTGCATTCACACCTGGGCTGTGTATATATATTGCCTTGGTTTGGCTCTGTAATCATGAGTGGTCGTGGGACTAGTTTGGGCCTTACCTAAGCTGGTCGAACGTTTCGTTTGGGTCTGCACCCTAGCTGCACTGATGAGGCCTGGAAGGCCGAAACGGATCCGTTTGCAGATATTGGGATTCCTTCCAGTGGATGCTTAGTTTATTTTGTCATTCTGATCGGATTTTCTCTACTGTTTCATTTTAATTTTAAATTGTTTTGCATTATATGGCTGTTT